ATGAAGTCATTACCTAGGTTATTAATAAACTGTTTACTTGGGTTATTGATGAAGTCATTACCTAGGTTATTAATAAACTGTTTACTTGGGTTATTGATGAAGTCATTACCAAGGTTATTAACAAACTGTTTACTTGGGTTATTGATGAAGTCATTACCTAGGTTATTAATAAACTATTTACTTGGGTTACACATGAAGTAATTACCTAGGTNTTAACTTAGGTTATTTATTGAATGCCTACCTGGGTTTTAAATGAATAGCCTATCAGTGCTATTAGTGAACACCTTATCTTGGTTATTAATGAACAGATAACTTGGGTTATTTTTGGTTTGGTTTGATTTAATTTTGTTTGCCCTCCTATTAACAGCTAAGGTCATTTAAGGATGTGCCTCCATGTGTGTATGCGTGCTTGTGTGTGTGTATGCAGGAGACAGGGCAGTCACATTATACTGACAATGGGTGAACCAGTTGTTGCCATTAGTTGGGTTATTAATGAAATGTTTTTCTATTTTTTATATTATAGCTTTGAGTGTCATATGTTATAGCTTTGAGTGGCGTTTTTATAGCTGCTGTAAACTTTAGGGGTGCAATTTTTTAAAAAACAAGCAAATTCGTGGAATTTATATCCCTGCTTTCAGGACATATTGTAGGTAAACATTATTGAAATTAGGTTTAAACATTATTGAGGTTAGGTTTAACATGCAAGTATCGTGCTGTTGAGACATTCTGAATAGCTTGAAACTTGAAAAAAAAAAGCCTTATCTAATATTTGCTAGAGTTATTAAGCTGAAACTGCAGATAATGTCTCTGCGAAATGGAGTCCGATTAAAGTGGTTGTCAAACTTGGCCGAGCCCTCAATGCGTTGAACCCTGTTACTAAGTTTGAAGACAATCGGATAATATTTGCAAGAGTTAATGAACAGAAACAGCAGATAATGCTGTTATTCAAGGGGCCATAACTCTGCCAAATAAAGCTCGCTGAAAGTGGTCATCAAACTTGGCCGATCCCTTAAGGCATTTAACCCTGCAATTCGGTTATTAATGAAATGCTTACCTGAGTTATTAATTATTTGTTAACATGAGTTATTTGTGAATTAATTACCTAGGTTATTAATGAACAGTTTACTTGGGCTATTGATGAACTGTTTACCTGAGTTATTTGTGAACTGCTTGCCTTGGTTATGGAATGCATAGACTGTGTTAACAGTGAATATCTTACCTGGGTTGTACCGTAGAAGTCCAGCTAAGAAGTCTGCAAGCAGATAGTCCCTACAGCCAAGGTGACGAAGGAGGAGTTCTGTAGCTGTTTTTAAAAGAATTCATTATTGAGATAAGACCTACAAATATGACAACCATTATGGAGTCAAGGCGGCCCCTGCATAAGTCCTTTTTATGTACATGCTCTTTAGAAAATCAATGAAGCCCATTTATTTGTGTTGATTATACTTTGATTTTATTCAATGGGCAAACCTAGTATTAAACATATATTAACCCCAGTTTTTTTTCTAAACCGAGACATCACTTCAGATGATAGTGAAAATAGTGAAAGTATAGATATATGACTCCTGATAGGGTTTTAAACTAGCAGCTTGGAATATTGTTTCGTTTTTGTTAAATATCTTTGTAATAATTATCAAAACCTAATAAAACAGTTAATGTATGTGGCTTTGGGCAATGGAAAATGGGCTGGTTTAGAGGAACCAAACTTATTCCCTCAGGGCCATACTTTAACTGTATGATCAGTGGAGTTGAGAAGTGACAGTATGTCTATCCACCCTCAGGCCCATACTTTAAGTGTATGATCAGTGGAATTGAGAAGTGACAGTATGTCTATCCACCCTCAGGCCCATACTTTAATTGTATGATCAGTGGAGTTGAGAAGTGACAGGATGTCTATCCACCCTCAGGGCCATACTTTAAGTGTATGATCAGTGGAGTTGAGAAGTGACGGTATGTCTATCCACCCTCAGGCCCATACTTTAAGTGTATGATCAGGAGTTGAGAAGTGACAGTATGTCTATCCACCCTCAGGCTCATACTTTAACTGTATGATCAGTGAAGTTGAGAAGTGACAGGATGTCTATCCACCCTCAGGGCCATACTTTAACTGTATGATCAGGAGTTGAGAAGTGACAGTATGTCTATCCACCCTCAGGCCCATACTTTAACTGTATGATCAATTGAGTTGAGAAGTGACAGTATGTCTATCCACCCTCAGGGCCATACTTTAAGCGTATGATCAGTGGAGTTGAGAAGTGACAGTATGTCTATCCACCCTCAGGCCCATACTTTAACTGTATGATCAGGAGTTGAGAAGTGACAGTATGTCTATCCTCCCTCAGGCCCATACTTTAACTGTATGATCAATTGAGTTGAGAAGTGACAGTATGTCTATCCACCCTCAGGGCCATTCTTTTACTTTATGATCAGTGAAGTTGAGAAGTGACAGGATGTCTATCCACCCTCAGGCCCATACTTTAACTGTATGATCAGTGGAATTGAGAAGTGACGGTATGTCTATCCACCCTCTGAGCCATACTTTAACTGTATGATCAGTGGAGTTGAGAAGTGACAGTATGTCTATCCACCCTCAGGCCCATACTTTAACTGTATGATCAGTGGAATTGAGAAGTGACGGAATGTCTATCCACCCTCTGAGCCATACTTTAACTGTATGATCAGTGGAGTTGAGAAGGGACAGTATGTCTATCCACCCTCAGGGCCATACTTTAACTGTATGATCAGTGGAGTTGAGAATGTCTATGTCTATCCACAACCTACCATCTGGTTGCTCCACCGTGTCAGTAAAGCGTCGATAGCTGCTGTAGAACTTCCCCCTTTGGAACGTCCTTCCGGGGAATGGTCCTAGTAATGAGGTTATCTGAAATTTAATACAGAAATATGACAATAGGTTTTAGAGTGATAATAAAAGGACATTGTTGATGATGACGACGACTATATGTAGTCAGACCACAACGATGTGTAGTGTTGACCATCAATTACTATACTGAAAACTGAAAAGTCAATATCCTTATAGGGAGCACAGGTAGAACTATCATTCAAACAAAATGGCCAGATACTAGTGATTAGAAGAGTTATGATTAAAGCATCCCCACAATCAGGAAAGATTACATATCAACTAAAGATCAAACTAAATAGTAAGCATCAATAAGACTAAGATACAAACTAACAATTAGGGGTGTATGTGAATAGAGAGATTAGCAAGTTATTTACATGAACACCTATTTACTTATATATATCCTATATTGACACCTGTCACCCATAGTTGTAACACGATTCTTGATCAAGGATTAAGTAAAAGATAACGCTAAGTGCTAATGAGCTTAAGAAGGCGAATGTTCAACAAGCTCAATCCATCAGAACGTCACATGATTATAATTTAGTTGTTTCAGTGTTTGTGAAACTCGCAATACCTGTTGCATGATGTCTCTCTTGGAGTTACCCATGAAAAGGGGTTTGGACAGGTAAAGCTCAGCCAGGATACATCCTAACGACCACATGTCTATCTCCTTACCGAATGGCATCCCAAACATAACCTGAAGAAGAAACACATCTCAAACATGTCATCATAAACATAACAAAACATAACCTACGATCATACAACACATTACATTTGATCACAGTGATACAAACACACCCCAAACATTTGTTATTGTTTGTAATGTATTTGTATGATCAAAGATAGGGTTTGAAATGTGTACAATCACATTGTGTGTAACAAGAGGCCCTGTATCGCTCACCTGAATACGTTTAAAATAATTGGTATGAAGTAAAGGTATAGCACTCCATGGTAGTTGCTGTAAGTACATATAACATTTCAGAAAGATCCATCCAGTACTTGAGATATAACAAGAACAATCTTCAAACAGAGCTCCACCCCTATGCCCCTAGGGGGGTCATACCCACCGATTATAAAAAAATTGAGACCCCTTGGCCCAAGGATGCTCCAGACTAAATTAGGATAAAATCCCTTAATCCCTACTGTAGAAGAAGGATTTTAAAGGTTTTACCTCTATTTCCCCTATTGGGCCCCACCTCTCTGCCTCCAGGGGGGTTAGACAGACCGTTTATACAAAATGGGTTCCCTTTCACCCAAGGATGCTTCATACCAAATTTGGATAAAATCTTGTCATTCGTACAGAAGAAGGTATTTGAAGAATTTGCAATGTTTCCCCTATTGGGCCCCTTCCTTCTGCCCCCAGGAGGGCCACACTCGCTGTTTATACCAAATTGAGTCCCTTTTGCCAAAGGATGCTCAAGACTAAATTAGGATAAAATCCCTTAATCCCTATGGTAGAAGGATTATAAAGGTTTTACTTCTATTTCCCCTATTGGACTCTGCCCCTCAGGTCCCAGGGGGTCACACCCACTGTTTATCCAAAATTGGTTCCTCTTTACCCAAGGATGCTCCACACCAAATATGGACCAAATCCTTTCATTCCTACAGGATTTTAAAGAATAATTTGCTATGTTTCCCCTATTAGGCCCCGCCCCTCAGGCCCTTGGGAGGCCAGACCCATGGTTTATACAAAATTGGTTCCCCTTCAACCAAGGATGCTTAAGACAAAATATGGACAAAATCCTTCATTCCTACAGAAAAAGAAGGATATTAAAGAATTTGCTATATTTCCCCTATTGGGCCCCGCCCCTCAGCCCCCAGGAGGGCCAGACCCACAGTTTATAAAAAATTGGTTCCCCTTTACCCAAGGATGCTCCACACCAAATATGGACCAAATCCTTTCATTCCTACAGAAGAAGAAGGATTTTAAAGAATTTATTTGCTATATTCCCCCTATTGGGCCCCACCCCTCAGTCCCCTGGGGGACCAGACCCACCATTTATACAAAATTGAGTCCCCTTGGCCCAAGGATGCCCAAGACTAAATTAGGATAAGATCCCTTAATCGCTTTGGTAGAAGAAGGATTTTAAAGGTTTTACCTCTATTTCCCCTATTGGGCCCCACCCCTCTACCCCCAGGGGGGCCACACCCACCATTTATACAAAATTGATTCCCCTTGGCCTAAGGATACTCCAGAACAAATTTAGTCAAAATCTGCTTGGTCGTTCAGGACGAGTAGTGTTTTAAAGAAAAAGGTTGACGGACGGACGGACGACAGACGCTGCGGTATGGCATAAGCTCGCCATGATCCTTCGGACCAGGTGAGATAATAATGTGTTCACTGGTATCAGTCATTCCTGTGGTACGAATGTTTAATCTTTACTGACACATTACGAACATGTGACCATACAACACATTACAAACAGGTGACCATACAACACATTACAAACAGGTGACCATACAACACGTTACAAACAGGTGACCATACAACACGTTACAAACATGTGACCATACAACACGTTACAAACATGTGACCATACAACACATTACAAACATGTGACCATACAACCCATTACAAACATGTGACCATACAACCCATTACAAACATGTGACCATACAACACATTACAAACAGATGACCATACAACACATTACAAACATGTGACCATACAACACATTACAATCATTTCATGTGGCAAACACATTTAAAACATTACAATCATACCAACACATTACAAAACACTATCCGTAAATCATACAAACATATTGCCAGATACCAAACACTAAATATTCTAATAGAATATGTGCAGTTTGTTTCCAACAATGAAGTCAATGATATTGGAGCCCTAGATGTTTCCAGGACTCGACTATTTCCATTATGAACCAATTAAAAGTACATCAAGATCTGTTTTACTCACAATTACAATCATTACTAAATGCAGACATCTTTAAATACCCCAATTTAGGTAAATCGCTTTCCAATGACTTTTTATTATTTTCAGGACGATATCAACGTGTGTGTACATTTGTGGACAGTAACACAAGACTAATGGCCCGTTAGCACATGATGTGGTAACAAATCATGTCTGTGTACAATAAACACTGGCTGACTGACACCCCACGCTGGCTATCAACTCCTGCCATCAGGCTTTGAACATGTCGGGGTAGGAAGTGTTTACCTATACACAACCAAATTACATGTACAAGCTTTAGTCCAAATCCCCCAAACAATACCCTAATGATGAAGTTGTGCAGCAAAAACTACCGTGCATGTAAGCCATCACTATTAGTGGTGATAACGTTTTCGCTGGGGAGGGTGGTCATGGATACCATTGATACTCGTATCGTTATCAATCAAACAGATCATTACTTTACGGAGTCTGGGTTCATAATCTTCTCATTGCTGGTCTACTCAAACTAACTTTTCTTTATATCTAACAAATTTTCCAAATAAAATGTGTCATGCCTTTATGATGTATATCTCAGCCCAGTCCCATCAAGTTTAGTCACCTTGACAGGAATAATGTACACGTTAACACCAGAAAAAATATCTATTTTGATAATTGTATACTAGGTAATAAATAATATTCACAAATTCATAATATGAAATGTAAAATATTTGAAGAAAAATTCTGATGTTGTTTTTTCAAGAAAATGTCAACTTTAAATATTCAAGCAATAAAGCTAGCTCTACATAGAATTTATGCAGGTCCAACGTGAAGTTAAAACCAATTACAGGGTAATGATGGGCCTGGTCCACATTTATAGCCATATGATTGGGCCACAGTAACAGGTTGGGGTATCACTTACATGGATTCTGGCCCCATGTCCAGCCATGTGGAAATAGGATAGTGTACAAATCAGGCGTAATATCAGCTCTGATTGAATAATTACATTAATGCTTTCAGGATCAGGAGAGCCATAAAATGTATTAAAGGTAGAGGGAAGTTTTTACCTGATGATCAAAAGCCAGTATGGGTAATAACTGGTGGAAGTGTGGCCTGTGATTAATGGATAGGATCAACAACACAAAGACTTGTGTATCTCGTCACAAAAGAATAATGCTAATCACTTTAATCATTTCTCATTGTTTGCTTGGCAATATGCACATCAAGATGAAATAATACATTATTTGCAATTATAAAATTTATGTGTTTTTGATATGTATACCACATGCAAATAATTTTCTTTCCACTACATAAACAGTTTACAGACATGTTCTTCAGATAAATAGTCTTTCCATTGTAGTTACAGTTCACTAACGTCCTTCAGATAAATAGTTTTTTCTCATTCCTGTGCACAATTGGTACAACTGTTCAAGGTAAGAAAGGGGTGTAGAAAAGGACCTGTATTTAACAATTTCTGTTATGAACATTATATTGGTAAATTGGGGCTAACTTTCTTGGTGCAGATTTTTTTCAACGCGTAGATGCCCTACCATAGCAACAAAATAGCGATGCTGCCAACATATTTAATGAAACTGAAAACTAATATAATTTATGGACAAAAAGTCAGAATGATGGGATGTATGTTTTCCACGAAAAAGTTTGGTGAAACCAAGTATCCTAAACCTTGCGAACTATATGGATATATAGTCTCTATCCTTTTATGTTGTACATGCACTTGTTTTTGAATTTTAATCCAAAATCAAATATTTTCTTAGCAAGTTATCTTGTGGAAAACATTAAATTGTCATTATTTATCACACCGACCCAAAAATCATTGAGTGCATACCCCATACAGGAAGACTAGGATGTATACTAACAAGAGGCCCAATGGGCCTGAATCGCTCACCTGGTATTAATCTCGCACTTGTCATCTTAAAAGTGGACTAAAATATTGCTACGGGCAGAATATCAGTGTTTGATTCATAAGAACCTATTAAAAGATTTAAACATATGATGCCTGTGACCTTGAATGTCGAACAAGGACATAAGGTTGAACAGAGTTATAGTCTTCCAACACTGCATGCTTTTGGCAAAATATTTTAAAGAAATTTGAAGATTTAAACATATTTGACCCCTGTGACCTTGAATACAAGAGGCCCATGGGCCTAAACGGTCACCTGAGTCCTACAGTATTTATTTTTGTTGGTGAAATATGTACCAATTTGAGTACAAAATAGTTAAGTATAACGTTAACTTAAGTTTGTCAGGACCATGAGCTAATCATTCCTAGACCGAGTTTCAGTTAATTCGGCATATTAGAACTTGTTTTAAAGTTTGAAATAGTTTTTTTAAAATGGCGGCCGTGGGGGCCATATTGAATTTCTGATCGACCCGAAAAACAACAACACTTCGTCAGGACGATGAGTTGATCATTCCTACAAAGTTTAAGTTCAATTGGCCCAGTATAACTTTATAGCTAAAGCTTAAGCTAAAGCTCAGGTGACCTAATAAGTAAAGGTCATTCATTTAAACAAATTTGGAAGCCCTTCATCCCAGCATGTTACTGGCTAAATATCATTATCCTAGGCTTCTTAGTTATTGAGAAGTTGTTTAAAGGTTTCAAACATATTTGACCCCTGTGACCTTGAATATACGTCAAGGTCATTAGTTTGAACAAACTTGGTAGCCCTTTATTCCAGCATGTTACTGGCTAAATATCATTATCCTAGGCTTTTTGGTTATTCAGAAGTTGTTTAAAGGTTTTAAACATATTTGACCTCTGTGACCTTGAATATAGGTCAAGGTCATTCATTTGAACAAACTTGGTAGCCCTTTATCACAGCATGCTACTGTCCAAATATCATCATCCAAGGCCATTTGGTTATTGTGAAGAAGTTGCTTAAAGGTTTTTAACATAAATGACCCCTGTGACCTTGAAAATAAATGAAGGTCGTTCATTTGAACAAAGTTGGTAGGCCTTTATCACAGCATGTTACTGGCCAAATAACATCACCCTAGGCCTTTTGGTTACTGGAGAGAAGTTGTTTAAAGTAAAAAGTTGACGCCGGACAGACATACGCCGGAAGCCGCACCATGGCATGCCCTTCGGGCAGGTGAGCTAATAATGTAAGAAGTATTTCTAAATCTTACCCTAAAATCTTTTCAGGTGGGATGCTGACATAGGTGGAGTTGAGCAAGAGCTCATGAATATGTGTGAACTAATGAAAGCTTGTTTCTTCTAAGTATATAGCCTTACCTCTGGGGCTCTGTAAAGGGGGGTCTGGAGCTCAAAGTCTTTAATGAAAGCTTGTTTCCTCTAGGTATATAGCCTTACCTCTGGGGCTCTGTAAAGGGGGGTCTGAAGCTCAAAGTCTGTAAAGAAAGCTTGTTTCTTCTAAGTATATAGCCTTACCTCTGGGGCTCTGTAAAGGGGGGTCTGGAGCTCAAAGTCTTTAATGAAAGCTTGTCTCCTCTAAGTATATAGCCTTACCTCTGGGGCTCTGTAAAGGGGGGTCTGGAGCTCAAAGTCATCATAATACAGGGCAATCTCTTTGTGGACATGTTGGATAGCATTTCCAAAGTCAATGACGGTCACAGAGCTGAGGTCATTCCCTACAAAACACATTTGTTAAAACCAGTAGTACAAGGAGCAGCACAGATAAACCTGCTTTAGTGACTTACAACAAGTTTCAGTCTCAAGTGGTTTTACTATATCAACACTAGGTAAAGCAAACATCTGTAGAAGGCGATCAGCGACCATTCAATTTAGTGATAAAATTGATCAGAGGTTTGTTAGACACAACAAATAAAAACATATCAATGTCCGTTTCAGTGCATTGTACACAGTTACTTTAGAAAACAGAAGATATTAGTAAATTGTTTTCACTAAAACATATCTCTCATTAAGTTTATGTTTCCTCCAGAATGTTTTCTTAGGATTATGTCTGTTTGTACACTACAGAGAAATCACAGCTCAAATATAACCAAAAACACTTGTAAACGAAGTATAGCGGTGGAATACGTGCCAATGTATGTGCTGTGAGCTTTATTCTTCACATCTGGAAATAGGTAGAATTTTTCATGGAGTTTATACTGTCTGGTACTATACAGCCAATCAGTTCAGTGTTTGGTCAAAGCAGGTAATAACAATAATTCAGCAGTGCAATATAACATCTGTTTCCTGGGTCCTTTGCTATTTTGATACGGGACAGCATCAATACGCTATAGGTTTACTTAAATCCTCTGTGACAACACATCTTATCACAGAGGATCCATTCAAACTCTAATTAGCACTGATTTGTGACCACTTGCAGTCTTGTTTCTGGTACAGCATACCAATCCTCTATGCCATTTATTAACAATCAAAAACAAAAATAAACAAGAGGCCCAATGGGCCTGCATCGCTCACCTGGTATTAATCTCACACTTGTAATCTTAAAAGTGGACTAAAATACAGCTACAGGCAGAATATCAGTGTGACCCTGAATGTCAAACAATGACATTAGGTTGAAAGTGGGTCAAGGTCATTCATTTGAACAAATTTGGTAGCCCTGATTGCTACAGGCCAAATATCAGTACCCTGGGCCTTTTGGTTATTGAGAAGAAGTTGTTTGAAAATTTTAAGACATTTGACACATGTGACCTTGAAAGTTGGTCAAGGTCATTCATTTGAACAAACTTGGTAGTCCTTCATCCAAGCATGCTACTAACCAAATATCATCTCCCTGGGGATTTTGGTTATTAATTAGGAGTTGTTTAAAGGTTTTAAACATATTTGACCCCTGCGACCTTAATTGGAGGAAGGTCATTTATTTGAACAAACTTGGTAGCCCTTCATCGCAGTATGTTACTGGCTAAATATTATTACCTTAGGCCTCTTGGTTATTCAGAAGAAGTTGTTTAAAGGTTTTAAACATATTTGACCCCTGTGACCTAGAATATAAATCAAGGTCATTTATTTGCACAAACTTGGTAGCCCTTTATCCCAGCATGTTACTGGCCAAATTTAGGCACCCTAGGCCTGTAGGTTATTCAGAAGAAGTTGTTTAAAGGTTTTAAACATATTTGACACCTGTGACCTTGAATATAAATCAAGGTCATTTATTTAAATAAACTTGGTAGCACTTCATCCCAGCATGTTACTGGCCAAATATCATCACCCTATGCCTCTTGGTTATTCAGAAGAAGTTGTTTAAAGAATTTAACATATTTGACCCCTGTGACCTTGAAAATGGATGAAGGTCATTTATTTGAGCAAACTTGGTAGCCCTTCATCCCATCATGCTTCTGGCCAATTATCATCACCCTAGGCCTTTTGGTTACTGAGTAGAAGTTGTTTAAAGTAAAATGTTGACGACGGATGGACAGATGGATGGACGCCGCACCATGCCATTTTTGCTCACCTGGCCCTTTGGGCCAGGTGAGCTAAAAATGTTTCAATACATTTAACTACCTGATAGATTAAACACAAAGTGTGGGCTTCACAGATACCCCAGCTCCCCACATATCTATTGAGTTTAAAGCATTTTAATAAACAGTGGCTGTGACATGCTAAAGAAACCTGTATTATACTGTAAATCGACTAAATACATATGTACAGACTGTACAATATACCTCTAACTTCATCAACATAGCGGGTATCTTTGTTTTATCCTGATTGTATTCTACTTCTTTCTGTTACATAACATGTACTTCATATATCATGTAGCATTTGACCCTATATGACCTTTCGGAGTTGACAGGCTGTGCACATCTTACCAATCGGGTCCCTAGCTATATAGTGATATCATATGTCTGATTATTAAATTTCATCATATTATTTCTTGCTGGTAATTCTTAACATGATGAATATGACAAGCTTTATATGAATGTCTAAAATTATCATACTGCACTTAGCACATAACATACAACAGTATCAATGTTACTGATGCTGTCTGTCAGTACTGATTAATCCTGATATCAAATCCAAACAACTTTGTTTCATTTCATATCAAGGTTAATGTCATCTTACCAAGGAATCTGCTGAGTCAAAGAACAAAACCCATATTAAGGATGAAAGGGAATCTGGTTTCTCACACAGTGATTGTGTAATTGTAAGTCCTCCCTGCTTATATTGTAATCTGTTGATAGACATACCCCAGTAGTTCCATACATGAAACAGGCCTGTATACCCGGAAGTTTTTAGATCAAAAGTCAGTGAGTTTTTACCAGGGAGGTTTTAGATCATATAGCTGAGTGTTTTTGTCACAAAGAAAAAGAAACAAAATAAGAAAGAAATGTTCCATTTAACAATAATTAATTTGCACTTTGTTGAAATTACAAGAAAATTCACTCAGCACTGTGTCCGACTAATCTGATAAGGAGTGTTGACATTTACATAACAGAGAGCCATGGAGTGGTTATTGTGAGGTGACAACGACAACACTATGGTCTAAACATTTAACACGGTAATCGGCTCCCCCATCCCTATTACGTCTTACACTACAATGGCCAGCTTCCCCACAAAATCATGCTTCAGTGGTCACGGGAAATGAGCTAGATCAGATTTACGTTTAATGAGGTTGCAAAAAACCTCTAACTTCACAATAAATCCCGATAAAACTGGTTACAGGACATAGTCAATTGTCGTGTTACAGATAGGCTGTGATTACACCCCACATGCACAGCACATAATTCTTGGGCAGGCAAATCACCATAACTGTCCTCTTTACAACTCTCACCAGTACCAATTCCACAAATTGAAAGAAGAAAATTAAAAACACACATTCAAAATACTCATCAAATTATTTGGCATTAAATTTAACATAATGACAAAACACGATTAATTTGCAGTGCTATAAACAAAAAGTGCTGCAGTCTGTGCTGACAGACAAATGCACATGGATTTGGGAGCAGGTGTTTGGAGCAAGAACTGTTAGCTTCACATTAAAAATATTACCAAATATTTTCAACTTTCTATGTTTCAAACTCCCAATCTGAAGTAATCTTCACAATATTCACACATACAATGTAGACAAATTCAAAAATTCTTTCTACAACACAAAATTCAAATTTTAGAAGGAGAAATATATTTGATGAAATGTTGTCTGCAACAGACCAAGCTTTAGCCAGCACAACTCTGTGCGATTGGGTGAGCATATATTCAATTTCTATGACTCTATCCCTGTCCATTAGAATCCAATACCCTGAAAGCCTTTTAACTTGCCACATAAAAAAAAAGTTGATGACAAAATCCACAATGCAAGTCCCGGCTCTTTACCAGGCCTGATTAAACTTTATGGGACATGATGTCACTCCACATGGAAATCTGATCTCAACAAGCGATGGAAAGTAGGCCATGGCTATCTGCTGACTCCACTTGTAGGAAACAAATCATTCCAATGACCAGACAATGGACAGTTTGGGACTTGTGTGCGACTATAAATTGTGTGTCTACTATTTTTGCAATTAGGGATGGGGTCAGGTTGATTGTGCAGTGAAGGAGACCAGGATGTCACCATCAGCATCAATCACTAACCAATCTCACGCCCTCATCACCATGCTCGCGACCAGCCACCAGCACACAGCTGTCCGCACAGGAAGTAACACCATTCCACTTCCTGTCTTGTCACCAACCCCCAAATATAGGGGACTATTATATCCAATATCCTCCTCATACCATTACTCGTGTTAAGTGAAATGTCATCTGACCTTGGAGTTTATTGCATCTCTAGAGTCATTTTTTATAATGGCTCTTTATGTTCTATAATAAAGTTTGGAAACTTACTTTTTCGAATGTTTATATCTGCAACGACCTATTGGGTAATGTATACTTTTGAATGACCCATCAACATAACAAGGTCATGCAGGGCTAACCACAAAATGGTCATTCCTGGGCCAAACAGTGAAAAATATACCAGTGATTTAGTCAGGTGAATTTGGGGCGGTTGTATCTTTTCCCAAAAAAGACAATGCAAAAATCACTTTATTTCCCCAAGTTTTGTGTGTGTGACATTTTCCCAAAGTTACAAGCCACAAGACACAGTGGAAAAGAGATATAAAAATCACTGCTTCAAACAGACAATACACTTTTAGCACAAACTGAAATTCAAATATGAGGATTGACAGCATTAAAACTCATCAATAACCTTCAAATCCCTCAGGAACTCTTAAATTGTGAAAGATGTTAATAGTATATGTAACAATCAAGAAACTCCTTCATAAAATCAACATGATACAATTGGTCAACATTACTAATTTTGTACTTAGTAAATACATGTACTTACTGTCATGAAGCAAAATGTTTTCTGGCTTAAGGTCTGCATGAATTACATTCTGTTGCCGAAGAAATCCCAAGGTTGATAATAGTCGGACAGCTATTTTCCTAATACTGTGAATCACCTGTCACAAAAATAATTGTAAAGTTGGTTATTTTTGTATATATTTTTTACACATTTCCTTTAAATTGACACTGTATATCTTATACCATATAGTGAATGTTACAAAGTCTGTTGACCTACATACCACACACTATATTTACAAATAAGTGGCCATACCTACTTCAGATGGAATTCATATTTGACATCTTCATAATCTACACCAGGGATGTACAATTGCACTAACCCAATGCCCAAGGCTTGTAGATCTTATGTTGGAGCTATCAAACATTTCCAATATTTACTATTAACACAACAAAAAACAAGGCATCATAAGTGATACAAATCCCCTCGCATTCACACATTGTGACATATGAAAGAGGAAATGAAGTCGCTAGAGCGATGACAAAGTTTTTTCTGAAAATAGTAAAAGTGACCTGGACCTTTAAGGCGGTAACCTGAAATTCGAAATTGTTAAAGGCATTGCCAAATCAAACACTTGTATCAAGTTTCATGAAATTGCATAGAAGAATGAAGTCAGTAGAGCGATGACAAAGTTTTTCTAAAAATAGTAACAGTGACCTTGACCTTCATTGCAGAAACCTGAAAGGCGAACTTGTTCAAGGTATTGTCATACTACACACTACTACGAAATTCATGAAATTCCTTTGAGGGATGAAGTCGCTAGAGCGATGACAAAGTGTGTAACATACGTATGTACGGGCGGAATCCTATATCCCCTCAAACTTTCGTTGCCTGGGGATAATTATACTCCCCGAAAAGGTCAACAACATGCAACACTTAAAAAGAATCGTTACCTTAATGTGATTTTGACCATAACACACTACCTTTCCATCCCACATGATGTATCCCTTAAATTTCATTGTTATCTTCAGCAAATCACAACTTATGGCCCAGACAATGTATTTGACCTTACATCTGAACTCAATATGACCATGACCTTGGAAACATATAGCCCCAAGTTTGGTTTGCAGCACACAACCTCCCAATCCTACATTTAGCTCTATAACATTTTTATTAAAATGTCTTCAGTGAGTCAAAATTTATGGTCCAGACAATAAACTGACCTTTTATATTACTCCACTGTGAACTTGACCTTGGGTGGACAGACCCAACTGTGGTTTACGACACACCACTTTGCCATACTAAGTTTAGCCCTTAAATTTCATTGAGTTTAACTACATCAAGTCAAAGTTAAGGCCCAGACAATGAATTTGACCTTTGACCTCAAAGTTACCTTGCTATTGGGAATTCATTGAGCTATCATTATTGAATCCAAAGTTATGGCCTGAACAAACAATTCAAACGGACAATGCGACAACTATATGTTCCCCCAAGTTTTTATGAAGAGCATAACAAAGGTTGATCTAGATATTTTCAAAATCCACATGCATCCTAGTATTTTGAACATGTAACTGTATAACCCTGATCCTAAGTCATAAATCTAACATTGGATACCAGATCATCCCTCATAAATTTTTACATGCACAACAGCCTTTTTAAATAATAGGATGATCAAATATCGAAATGAAGAATCAAACTGACATACAAATTTCAATAGTATCAAATTACAATGAATCAATTTGTTGGTTTGTTTGTCATTTTATACATACATAACAACTAAATGTACTATAGCGTAGCCAAATTGACATCAATTTTATATTGCAAACTATTACCAGGTACATATCTTACACTTCATTTATCTGATGAAGCTGACAGAGTACATTGTATATATCATTCTAGTCACCAAAACATCACATAAACACTTAACTGGTGGTGCTAGATAAGCCTTTCTACAATTCTTAATATGTTGACCAACGTATCCAATATTTTTGAGTATGTTAACTTTAAAATCTTTTACTATCATGTGATCTATTTTCCTTTACTTCAACCAAGATTAAGATTTGTCTATTACATGTACATGTGTAACAATATTTTACATTAATTGGTAGCATTTTAAGGTGGCTCCACACTTTCGCAATTAACCAGCAAAATTTGTTGAAACTTTCATATAATGGTTATGCAACTATGTAGAGTTGATTTTATGAAAATCTAAACATTCTGATAGTTTGGGGACTTTTTTGGAAAAAATACCAAAAAATTGAATTTTCGTCAATTTTAATATTTTGTTTTTTTTGTGTGTGTGGCATTGTTCGGAACAATAACAACAATAATAAAATGAAAAGAAGCATTTCTAATTAACCCTACAAATATCTTATTTATTGCAAAATATGTAACACATGTTACACAAAGTGTTTTTTATTGAATTTGTACAGATGAAAGTGATTATCTACAAGCTAAAAGCAAACAGGACACAAAGATCTATACATGTATATATATAGAATGGGAAATTGAACAAAATATACACAATGGCTTTATAATTAAGTTATTTTAGATTTTACAATCACTTTGATCCTGGTGAGAGTTATCTTCCTTGAAAAAAATTGGAACTTTTTGCAGAGGGATGACATTTACACAATGACAGTTGTCTCTGTTTACATATACAAGAGGCCCAAGAGGGCCTGTATCGTTCACCTGAATATTTAAGCAGTCATAGCAAAATATTCTCATTAAATATTATATTGCACTAAAAATATTTCCCTCGCAAACTTTGTTGGCTCCATCTGTCGAAACTACCAGCAAAATATTATTATAAGATTCTATGCTTTTTGATTCTTCTTCAGAAGTTGCTGACATATTTTTCCCTGTGATCTTGTAAGTAGGTCAATGTCATTTTCCTTCTCAAATTGGTTAGCTCTATTCCAAAAAGCTACCAGCCAAATCTTATGAATCCATTCCTTTTAGTTCTCAAGAACAAATCCATTAAAATGTTGTTGACCTCTGTGACCTCTAAAGTAGGTTGAGGTCATTTTCATT